TTTAATTTTTGTATAACAAATGTGTATTTACAATATAATAATATTTGTATTAACTACTATTTTTTTTTCTGTAAGTTATATATAATATAATAAACAATAATAAGTAAAAAATAACGTAATTTTCATTTGTCCGTGATAAAAACAAAAACTATAATATATAAGAAACCATTCAAATATAATGAAGATCATGGTGAAAACTAATGAGAAATAAAACTTGCTCTTAAAATAAAAATGAAGGGCAATTGGGAAATGGTACATGCAAATTGCAGAAGTTTATTTTACAGTATATAGATTATAAATTATCAAATACTAAACAGAAATGGGTTATAAATACAAAAGATAATGGATTTAAACTATAAGATTAAAGAGGGTAAAAAAAATATAAGGAAACAATAGGAAGATGGTAAACTTACCTTAATGAATGAAAATATGAAAGCTTGTACTGTAAATAATCCTTAAAAATCTTAATTGCCTTCTCAGATTGTGGCAAATTCTGGTAGGAAGATGAAGTAGAGATGGGGGGAAATATGACAGCAATGTTTTAGGGGGAAGAATGGTGTAGAAAGCAAAGAGTGTGTGGGAAGACGGGATGGCCTAAAAACTTACATCACCAACATGGAGTGTGATGCTAAAAGGATGAGCCTTTCAGCAACATGCACTATGTTGCTGAAAAGTTACAACACCAACATGGAGTGTGATGCTAAAAGGGTGAGACTTTCAACAACAAAGTGATTGTTGCTGAAAGTTAATTATATTGCAGTCAAGATTCCAACTAGCAGATGGATGAACGTGACAGTCATACACACTCCCCAAAATATAAGATTCGGATTTGGATTCTTGGGTGTAGTTGTTTTAAATCAATATTAATAGTTAAAAATACAATAGTTAAAGTAATATGTATCTAAATATAAAATTAATAGTATATATGATTTAATACATCAAATATAATGTAAATAAATCAAAATATTTTAGATAAAAAATACGAGTTAAAAGGAATGTAAATTAATATTAGTATATACCATTAATATATACGTTAAATATTAATGTTGGTTATCAACTAAATGAGTTTGCATAACTTTTTAAATTTTATACATGACATTGACATTTTCTTTTAATATAATTGATGACATATAATAAAAGTAAAATTATTGTCATATTATAAATGGTTAATGTTAAATTTTTTTATTATAATTACGTTATATATTCAACTGTTGCTTTCGAAAAATTAGAAATAATTATGAATTCCAGTAAAGAGTCAACTCTATGAATGTAAATTCGACTCTTATAGGCACTAGAGTCGACTCTATCATACAAAGAGTCGACTCCCGAATTTCAGAGAGCAGGAAACATTTTGGTGCAGTACAGAGTCGACTCTATAATATAAAGGGTCGATTCCCAAATTCTAGAGAGCAACAAAACATTTAGGTGCAGATCAGAGTCGACTCTGTGATAAAGAGTCGACTCTTATGGCTGCAGGGAAATAAACTCTTCTCCGGTCAAAGTCAACTATTATTTTATAGAGTCGACTGTTTTGCTTGTGAGAGTCGACTCTCAAGTTATAGAGTCGACTCTTTGGCGCAGGATTTGATTAAAACCACTCATGTTCCAGATTTCCCCATTTTCCCTCTCTCTCCTATTTGACTCTCTAAAAAACCTAACACTCAACCCAGCCAAAATCCTCCCAAATTTCACCAAAATAACTCACCCAAATACAAACCCACACCATTTTCGATCAATTTCTCTAAGATTCGTGCATAGTCATACAAAATGGTGAGGACTAAAAGAGTTGTAAAGAAAGCAAGGGGGCAGGCGGCAAGCACGTCTGGAAGGCGTCGAAGGGCTGAACAAAGTCTTGAGGACAGTGGTGAAAGCACAGACATGGAGCAGGTATTTCAATCCGATCACCCTCGAAACTTTGTATCTAGAAATGCTATAGAAGCCTATAATAAATTAGGAAATAGGAAAGTCATTTATGGTTTTAGAGTTTTAGATGATATATGCAAAAGGGGGCTGCATATTAGATAAATATTAGATGCAATGGGATGGACTGAATTAGTAAGTAGAAAGGTGAAGGTTTACCCATAGTTGATAAAGATTTTTTATGCAAATTTGAGTGATTCGGAGGATGGAGGGTATAGAACAATAGTCCTTAAGAAAACTTTTGAATTTGATGCTGAAACTATAAATGATGTTTTACATTTGCCAAATGAGGGAGCCATCGAATTGAGTGCATTTACAGAGGAATCGGCAAAGAAATTTATCATGGAGGATGAGTACAATGAGGGACAAACATTAACCATTCACCACTTGAATTTGGAGAATTGGTTAATGTTTTGGATTTACAATCACATAATTTTGCTAAGACAAGGTTCTTTTGGGAAATTTAGTGGTTCAGATTGTGTGTGATTTGCATATATTCTTGATTAGAGGCGGATCAATTTAGGACACCATATTATGAGACAAATGGTGTATTATAGGGGTAGATCGACACTCGCACTAGTGTATGGAACTCTCATCACATTACTTATGGAAAATGCGGGTGTTGTTTGCGTGGAATGGAGTCCCGAGACCTACATAGTCATGAGCTTTTGAATGAGAGTTCACTGAGCAAAATGGGGTATGTATTCAGTGCAAGAACAAATTCGTGGGAAATGAAGCAGAAAAAGAGAAGAGGAGGACAAGATGATGAAGGTGAGGGGTTTGATGATGAAGAACATGCCGAAGAAACTGAAGAAGCAGGTCCCTCACAAGCTACTTCATCTCGAGTTTCTCAGAGATTAACTACACAGAGAGAAATGTAGCTCATTCTCGAGAGACTTGCACGGATTGAAGCAAAAATCGATGATCACATTCGCGACTGTCAGATGGCAGCACCTATAGGTCCTCGAGGGACAAAAGGAGATCCGTCTACTGCTGGCACATCCTCCGGACAGCAACCCACTGATCCCTTTTCAAATCTGGAAGCATAAATCCTCCCGTTGCAGTTGTTGATGGCTGTTAAATTATCATTTTAATGTTTGAACAATCTTTTGAAAGTTTTCTTAATGTATTGACTTTTTATATTTTTGAGTATGTACATATAATATTGACATTAGATGTAGTTTGATTGAATACAGATTTTAACATTAATGAGCATAGCATAATTTTGATGATTTGTATTGGCTAATTATGTTCTTGATGTGCTTCCATTGATGGCAAGCAAGTTGGTAGTCCATAGTGTGCTTGAATGGCAATTTGTGGATGTGGTTTTAAAGTTTGATGTGCATGTGGTTTTAAAGTTTGATGTGCATGTGGTTTTAATGATTCAATAGTATTTTTTACATAGTTGATGTTCATGAAAAAAAAAAAGGAAACGCAAATAGCAAATTCTGGGAAATTAAATAGTAGAAATGGACTGAAGAGTCGAATGTAGGCCTATATTCGACTCTTCAGGCATGTGAGAGTCGACTATCAAGCAGGAAGAGTCGACTCCCATTTTCCAATAAGCAGCAAATGCATTTTGCTGCAGCTTATAGTCGACTTTCCATTATAGAGTCGACTCTTTTGAATTCAAAGTCGACTCTTCATATTGAAGAGTCGACTACCAAATTCCAGTAGGCGGGAAGTTAATTTGCTGCAGCATATAGTCGACTCTTTATCATAGAATCGACTCTTTTGAAGTTAGAGTCGACTCTATCATATGAAAAGTCGACTACCAAATTCCAGTATGCTGGAATGTAATTTACTGCTGCCTATAGTCGACTCTCCATCATAAAGTCAACTCTAAATCAAAAGAATCGACTTTACGATGTGGAGAGTCGAATATCAAATCCCAGCACCATATTTTTTTCCCTTCAAATAGTCGACTCTCTATGTTGAGAGTCAATTCTTAGTCCTTTACAGTCGGCTCTACTATGTAAGATTGGACTCTTGAACTATGTGGTTCACAAAGTAAAAACATTTCATGCAAATTTTTAATAATTAACATGAGAAATACTTATAAATCATTAATAAATGTTGTAATATCAAATTATATAAAATAATCACAAGAAAACAAGAGAAATTGGACAAAAATTTGAAAAAAATATTGAAGAACATAAGTTAGATAATTATATTATGGTTCTTGGATGGATCGTAATTTTTGAACAGCAGCATCTCAATACTTTTTTTCAAATGTAAGACGCCTACCATTACCAAAAATCTTTGTAATAGTTTTGGAGGACTCAGCAGGGGTTTTGGGTGGATTTGACAAAGATGGTGATCGATAACGATTTGAGCAAAATTTTGCAATATGACCCTCACGGTTACACAATTGACAAGTTACAGCATATCGATGCGGGCAAACTGTAGCTAAATGTCCAGGAGTATCACATATTTGACAAACAAAGTAGTTTACAGTATTAGGCAATAGAATATGTTGGTCAGTTGATATATTATTCTTTGTTTTTTTCAACTTCCTCTTGGACAGACTTTTAGATGGGCAATTCCATAATGATTCAGGAGTATCCTCAATGATTGTTGTGTAAAATCATATAAAGTTAAGTAATATGATAATAAAAGGGGTGCACAAATGAGAAATGAGAAATAAGGGAAGAAAAAAAAATTATACCATTATATTGGCTGTCAAAATAATCTTGACTTTCCAATTGATTGTCAAAATAATCTTGACTTTCCAATTGGTTGTCAAAATATTCTTGACTTTCCAATTGGTTGTCAAAATATTCTTGACTTTCCAATTGATTATCAAAATATTTTTGACTCTCCATTAAGCAATAGAAAAATAGAGTTTTAAAATTTATAAAAATTATTACTTTTAAATCATAATATAAAAATAATTATGTAAGAATAAAAAAAATAAATTGCAAGAGTAAGGGAGAAATAACAAGAAATTGAGAAGTGTGAAAGGTGTGTATATATATTGTGAATGAACCGGTCAAAGGATTTTCAGCAACATGGTTATTGTTGCTGAAATTCACTTTCAGCAACAAGAACCATGTTGCTGAAAGTGGTGTGGATGGTGAGGTGACCGGAAAATGCTAGCAACGAGGGGCATGTTGCTAAAATTTACTTTCAGCAACATACCCCTTATTGCTAAAGGTGCAAGTGGTGGTACTCCCTCTTCTTGCAGACGGCTTGTATATATATATATATAGATTTGGCCAACCACCGGTCAATGAATATTAGCAACATGTTCCTTGTTGCTGATGTTTAGTTGGTAAAAAGATAAGAATAACAACAACAAAATATATGTTGCTAATACTTAAGGTTTTCAGCAACATAGCTCTTGTTGCTGAAATTCACTTTCAGCAACAAGGAACATGTTGCTGAAAAGTATAGCTCAATTTAAATGGGAGGGGGCTCACCGGAAAATATCAACAACATACTCCATGTTGCTGAAAGTAACTTTCAACAACAAGAAGTACATTGCTGAAAGTGGGGAGGCTTTTGGAAGATGAGATGTACGAAATAACTTTCAGCAACAAGCTCTATGTTGCTGATACATATTTTCAGCAACAAACCAAACCATGTTGCTGATATATTGTTGCTAAAAGTCAAAATTTTAGTAGTGTCAGTCGACATCGCCTTCCTTTTTTTTTTTTTTTTTTATCAGCTAAGTAATTTATTATTAAATTGAGTACAAAGGGATCTCAATCCCTTTTATAACTCGAGTTCTTTCTTAGTACATAATTTTTAATTTCCTATCCAATCTACAACAGGCATTCATGCTATTTTATTCCATGCTCTACTTAATTCTTACATTCTTTGAAGCACTGTAGTGGATTAGTGCATCAGTCAACTAAAGAGAAGTAAATCTTACTTTCCTTTGCCCTGATCCAATACCATGATCTTACCTATATTAAATCTACAATTTCCTCCATGTTACCGCCTTGTTTTGAAACAATATGTCGTTCCTCCAATTCCAGATTACCTAGCATCCTGAAAAAAATAGCAACATC